TCCGATAAGTCACTCATCAACTTTATTTACTTTTAACAAGAAGAGGCTACTAATGGGCTAAATAGAAAGACGGCTGATATTTCCAAGTTAGAGTCCGTGGGTAAAATTCGGCGGATTACACATCTCAGCTCGCAGTTCACAAACCGGGAGGATCCTTGCTCTATTCGGGGCCACCAAGTGGATTCAAATGTGACTCAGAGTGACGTTTTCGACGTTTGGTTTAATTGGCGTGTGGTTAAACCCAGAATGGCACCTCTGAATAGGACACTTCCATCAATCAATAGCGCAATTGTTTAAGCCTTTTAGAGTGAAATTCTCCCATAAAACCGAAGCCACAATTCATAGGCTTGGTATCAAGACACAGAGTGTGTTCCCAATGATTTGCTGAATAAGGTTAATATAAACACCGGATTTTTTCACTGAAGAACTGCATTAATTTTGTAATTGTATGAGCGACGCTATGAGCTATTAGTGACAACATTGCTCATTAGTAATTTACCCTGTTTTATCTCGTATTTAAATTGTTTTAGACCTTTTCATTTACTAACTTTTACGTTTAATATGAAGTCACTAGAGTGAAATGAAACCACGGAAATTCGACAGATTTTAGGAAATCTTGAAATTAAAACAACAAAAAAGTAAAATAGTTCTATTTCAATAGGGTTCAAAACCCATTTCGATGTATTTGAACGAAAACAACGATCAGCCGCACGCCGCCAGGAGAGTCTGCCCCTCGAAAGTGTGGCCAAACGCTTGTGTGTATTCGACCACAATGAGTGGAGATAAGCACTACTTCGAGTTCGCACAGGTACTCCTAAGTAAACGTCCCTTGGATCTTGCAGAGTAGTGATTGCTGCCACTCATACAGCGCATATCAGTTATTTCAATTTAAGCAAATTCAGATTCATGAACCTTGTTAAAATATTTAACAAATGACTTTTAGAGCAGTCTTCTAAATATTCTTGATATAGTTCCATATTCTAAGGCATCCATCTTCAGCAACCGAGATCAGCCGTTTGCCAAGTGAATCGAAGCCAAGTGCAGTAACCGATGCTCTGTGTCCGATACTGGTCAAAACCTGAAAGAATTCGAAAACGGGTAAAATGAGCTACAGATTGATAAGCAGTTCTGTTAAAATGCACACACTTCAGTGCTCGACTGAAGATTGACAAGCATGCCCAGTGCACTAACCCCCGACCCCAGAAGCATTTACGACCCCAGAATACGGTCTTGTAAATGTGGTTCATAAAATTAAATAACAAAACGACAAAAGGGTCTTTTGTTAATTTAGAACTGCAGTAAATACCAGAAGTTAGATCAGACTGCTACAGAAAAATGATGTGGACTGTTGTCACGTACCCGGATTTTCACAGTTGGAAATTCTGTCAAATACTGAAGTTGGCGGTGCTCCTCAAATCTGAATCTCGAAGCTTTCCAACCACCCAGTTTGTTGCAATACTAATTGCCACTACCACAATTAATCTAGTGGGAGGCGCAAACGAAAATTCTGACAAATCTTGGTAAGTTAAGGCGCTCACCACAGCGTTAGGAAAAAACTCCTGCTCTTTTCAAGTGTCAACCCACTCCAAATTCCCAATTTGTTTATTGTAACGATAATGGGCAAGTTGTAAATTGGAGAGAATATAAGACATAATTTTCAATAGGATTTTGAAGTGAGTAAAACGAAATTTAACCGACTTAGGCTCTTAGCAGGTAAATAGCAGCAGCAACAAATGCGAAACTACGTAACGTGAGTTGATTAATCGTGATGATCAAACAGAACGGGAAAAAGCGATTAGAAGCCTACCTTAGGGACTTGGCTGGGATGATAATTATATTTAGGGAAGTGTAAAGAGAACTGTTATAAATATAGTCCTGGTAGACATGTTAACAAACAGTCAGGATATAAAATTCAGTTTATTTATTACATGCAGACTAAATTGCATCGGGTTTCTTTTTAGGCCCAGTACTAGAAATCACTGAGCTGATAACAATTTTAGCAGATTTTGCAGAATTTTCTGTGCAACACCGCGAATTGGCATAGCAGATAAGCTGTCATAGGCAAACATGGGAGTTTGAAGCATGTCAGCATTTTACTGGAGCCACAAGAGGAAATCAGGAAAAGCTTTTGTCCATAACACCAAAAATGTATAAATACATAACCACAGGGCCTCGAATAACATATACCCCGGTAGAAAAAGTTCACCAAACATGAAGCTTGTCACTCTGTTTTTGATAAATTTAAGAAAACAAGTTTAATAATCGAACCATAGCCTACAAAAGATGGTTATAGGGTGCCATGGATGAGATGATGACGTTTGTAGAGAACAGAGCAAATCATTCATGACAGTTGACAAAGTTGAAACTGAAATTTTGCTTCAGAGATAAAACTTGTGAATGAAGACGTTGGCAGACTTTCTGTCTCTGAGTTGGATGTCATCCAGAAAGACGGTGATATCCAAAACCGTAACTTTTTTGAGGAGTTAGACAGACTAAGTGGTCAATGGAAGTCATCGTAGGAGTGCCTACACACAAACACAACTTACCCATTTCTACTAAAGTGGCATTAGAAGTTTAAATACTGACAATGCTTAGGTTTCATAGAATTACTTTGAACGTTAAAGTCAACCAAATCGAATGAGGTGTCAGCATTAAACGAATAATGCGACAATCCAAACTTTATGTGTGTAAATACAATCAAAGATAAAAGTGTATTATCATGGAAACATGAATTTCAGTTGACGGTTGGAAGCTTCAATGTAGCCCTTGTTCAATTGACTTGAACCAAAGATCACGACCGTTGGCGTATCACTGTCACAATATTTATGCGGATCAAGTTCACCTTGGCCTTACTTCTAGTGAGCTGTCAGTACGTGCTTCGACTGCCCGCACTCGGCGTCATTCAGGAAGGTTTTCGATGCTCTCGTACGTGGCCTCTTACGCGAGCACCAGAAAACATCTGACTGCTCTACACATTGTTCTATTAAGTTAGCGTTAAATAACTGTTGCCGCTAAACGAATTCGCTCTGTTGTCGTTAAAAAAACCAAGGCCATTAATAAACATTTAGTTTTATTAGTTGTCAGTTAAACAAAAAAGGTACTTCCTCAAATATAGGGCTGTTAAGCGCATAATTATAGTTCAAAAATGCACAAGGTATGAAAAATGAAATCTTGGCACTCATCATGCAAATATCACCAGAAGACGAGCCCAGTTGATCTGGCAGATATGAACAAAAAAATGTCACCTACTTGTCTTCCAACATGAAATGTAGGTCGTCCTAACACTAGTGAGATACACATAAAAGACTATTTACACAAGCGCCTAATAAGATATCTCGAAATTTGAGATGCACCCCTGTTTTCTTTCAGCAATCTTTTAACTGGCCAGGTTCCAGTCCGACTCAGATTGCAATATTCTTTTCCGATTACTTTGATGAATGTTTCAAGATCGTCGATATTCAACTTCTTAAGGGCATGTTCCAGTACTTCCTCCACAAACTGTCTGGTGAAAACTGCTACAGGTTGCAATGACTTGCATAATATAAAATAAATTACTCTATATTTTGCGCACTGTTCATTTACGAGACTTATTTTTCTTAAGTAGCTGTGCAGCAGAATTCTGGCCGATAAACTGCTGTTGCGCGTACCTCAACAAATGCAAAAATCGATCATTTCCGTGTCCCTACGTTTAACAGTTATGACCATGGCATCTTCGACGTGAGTGTTCATTTTCGATGTCTGGTAGATGTCTCAGGTATTATTACACAAAAGCCAAAAGTTCCGTGTATTGAATTGGATGAAACGAGACAATGTAAAACACCTCCTACTTGTATTGCAAACAAAAACCATGGTACTTGTTTTATTTGTTGGATATTAGCACTAAACACTGAGTGGATTGTACCATTAGGCTGTTCGCTTTATTTTTTGATCAAGTGTCTTCGTTTTAGGCCGGCCATTCTTCATACTTAAGCAGCGGTATTTTCTGTTTTTATACATTGGTTAATTGTACGTCCATTCCCCAGCTGCGATTGTTTTCTAGGCTTTAAACCAGCTGGCCATCTCCTATTTTGCAGATTTTTATATTTTGATTTGTACATTTCAATTTTTACCTCAATGCTTAAAAATAATAACGTTTTATGGAAGTATTGTTGTCAATCCAGTCAGTCAATTCAGTAACTAGAGAGGTCTTGTCTCTTTTAAGCTGCGCTTAACTAGTTAGCACTAATTTATACCAGACACTTTAATTTGCCTTCTCTGCTCATAGTGGATTCAGAATTACCTTTTCAACTAAAGTAAACAGCTTTAGCCCCTAGGCTGTAAACCCACCTTTACTTTATGCGCACCCTTCAACGACTAATCGGAATCAATATTAATTTGGAAAGAGCCCCAAAGGGACGAGTTTTAAGGGGTCCAGACTGCGACACCGAGCTATCAAAATGACAGACTTTCAAACTACGTGCTGCCAATGTAGTGTTATTGCCGAATGTCAACATTATTCCACTATTACTACGTGCATTGTATCACCCCTCAAAATTGATTAGCGCACTACACTAGATTCACTACAAACCTTGCCATCCACAGTTAGCTTAAATTAAGACTATGACACTACAGCGGCGCAAACAGGACGATGTTTAAAAAAGACCTGCGTGGCAGTCACTATGTTCTGCAGTATTCTAAATTAAGTTGAGATTGGAACAGAGCCTAGTTTAAACGAATCTAGACGACCAATATCTGAATTAAATCGGTTTGAAATTATTTGTCATCGTATTTGGTTTTGAAATCGCCATTTTTCTCATTAAAACACACAAGGTACGTTGCATAGCAGTAAATCACTACAAATATTATAAATGCGTTTGTCTCTTCCACAACGATGGCCTAAACTGACATAAAACTACGAAACTCAAGAACTTACTGCCCATTTCCATTAAACAGTTCGAGCTCAAATAATTCTACAGCACTAATCGGCTACCATTGGCCTACCCCTAGGGGCAATAGCTAGGCTAATCACAACTCCTTTTGTGCCACTGGGCGAAGAAACGTACCTCATGAGTAGCCGCACTGATGGCAGATATACTCCCGTTAGTGTTCCCCGCAAACCAATACTTATCATCTGGCGAATGAACGATGCAATTTCTTCCGTGGCCGCAAGCCATCTGATTTGCTACCATGACACTTGGTTGATATCCTTGGATGTCCCATTGCACAACCACTCCATCGGAATCGCAAGAACTGAAATGGGTTCCACTCCTTGAAAAGTCAACCCATTTAACTGGAGCCACGTGCTTTAGAAATCGCCTCTCCTGGCGCTTCTAAAAATAAAGAGTATAATTACCGTCGTTTCATTGCTTTGTACTCAGGAGTAATCAATCAGTGCAGGCAAAGTCACCGATCGAACATCCCAAAGAAGGATGCTCCCGTCTGAGGAGGCCGTAAGAAGTTGGTGCCCGTTTGGCAAAAATTTGACGCAATTGACTCCACCATGGTGACCGCGAAGTACGTCGCAAGACTCAGGTCGTTCCACGGCGAAGGCGCGTACGAAGCTGTCAAGACTGCCAGCAGCAATGCAGCCACCGGCGCAGTGCCAGTCAAGACAGAGGATGGCTCCGCTCTGAGGCAGTCTTCTCACACCAAGACTGACTTCATGCAGGCACTGGGCATTTTCTATTTGGTCGTAGTTGCCAAGCTTTGAAAATGAATTACTTTTAAACTTGATTCTTACCAGGATTTTGCCCGACAATGATGAAATCGCTAACATGACTCCATCTGAACTAATTGCCACCGATGACAGTTTCAGCTTAGGCAGCCCAATTGAAATCATTTCTCTTTCTTCGTCAACATTAATGAATGATAAGTTTCCATTTTTGCTAACACAGCAAGCAAATCCGGCTTTCGGGTGACAAACAACCCTAAAATTTTATGACCATTATTAACATTTGTCATTTAAACTAGGAAATGCTCTTGGAGGGAAATTCGTATTTCGTAGATGTTTATATACCTTTTTCGATGTTTAAGAGTTCCGTTCCATTACAAATATTTTGGTAATTTGAATAGCGCATGAATGAGGAACACAATAGTCTATCCCATCTTGACAGCAAGCTCAAAACCTTTAAAAAGCCCAGCTCACGGAAACACTTGCTCTTTAAGACTCTAAAGGCACGCTTAGTGACTTGTAAAATGCATTTTAAAGACGTAGCCTTAAAGATTTTGTAAAGAAAGCATCATTGCATATACTTCTTAAGCGTAAACCACATCCTCTTGTGCTTTCGATTCTAAACTGAGTTACAGATGAGCTCTTGATCAAGTGTAATGAAGGGCCTCCATTCCAGCATGACCCCAAAAGATATTAATTAATCGTTTTACTGTCAAAGTGTCACAGTTCACAAATTTTGTGAGCAACCACTCATTTCTTGCGCCATAAAATACCTTAAATTTTCTTAAGGATCAAAGCGAAAATACGTCTATTCACCTGATTCTTTGGCCGACTCTGTGTAATAATTGAACTACTTTATAATTAAATGGAAACCTCTGGAAATCTGGCGCGACTTTTAGGACTCACAAATCTTCAGCTTATGGGTACGGCCTTTTCTGAATCCATCAATATTTGGGTCTGTTCTACTTTTAAACTTAGTGTTAGAAACCCCACACATTGATAGCGCATGGCTCTAACTTACCCTGAAAGGGGCCCACAATTGAGATAAAGACCTTGCATGGATGGTTTCAACAATTCAGCAGCATTCTCATTCACACCGAACTCCGTTTTATCCGTCTAAATTGTCGAAATAAGCTCTCTTACTATGTTTTTACAGCAAATACAATGAATTACAGGTTAATCTACCCATCACTGTAAAATCGCGTATCGAAAAATTCGAGAAGTGTATTTCTTTGTAAGTTTGGTGTTTAATAGCTACGGAATTTGATTCCAACTTAACTACATTTATTTCCGCCCTCGATGTGTCAACTTTACTTTAGATGCATTAACTAGACACAAATTCAGTTCTTGTCGCTTACTTTGCTGTCAATATTTTATTTGGTCTTTGACTGCAGAGGAATCAAACGAGCATTGTCCTCTGGTAAGAGTTCAAGGTAATTTCTGTGAACTGGTAAACCAATCATCTACGTAGGTGATTGTGTGTGGGTGCAAGTTGTATTCAAAAATCATCAATCAACTTTACTTTAGCATGTTCAACTCTCTTTAAGAATAAACTGGTAATAGCTTTAAAAAGGGGAAATGGAGACTTGAATAAATGTGCTTAATGATTTGGTGAAGTATTTACACAAAATAGACATAATGAATCTATATTTTTGAAAAGGAAGAACGAAAACCACACTCTCGCGAATCCATTGTCCCCGTATGTCTCTCTAATATTTACACGGTTTATGAGAAAGTAATTTTGAAAACGACTCTTTTGTGTTATTCACAACCAGTAGAGCTAGGAATCCGTTTTCTGATGCTAGTCAATACCGCATTATTATTTATGTTCAAGAACCTTTTACAAAAGGTAAAAACAGAATAATTGTAAGCGTATACCACATACATTAGGGGTTTACACGCTGTCCAATTTTTCACAGGAAGCCAGTTGATCAATAACTTCACACTTTTGTTAGTCTCTCAACGAAGACTACACAAGTCATCAAACGCAATGCTAAGGTCTAGGATCTTTTAATCATATTTACCTATTCTAAGTGTTGGTCTAACCTTGATTTGCACTTTGTCTATTCGCCAAGAATATCAAAGTGAATGAAACTGTAGTGGAGGACAAATAAATTTCGATTCAGGCTGTACTGCTTAAACAATTTGTGCAGCAAACTCTACCAATGTAAGTAATCGATTCACAATGCCACTGCCTACCAACTTAGTTGAGTACAGATATTTAAGGTTGATCTTAAAATTGACGTCATCTTCAAGACTGTTGTTTTTGATTTGGAAAACCAGAGGACCTGGGAGCGGAAGCATACCCTGTGTGTAAATTGCACTGCTTGGTTGTGTGTTAGTAAGAAGAGGCATAAGATAGGACACAAATATAATTAATGTAGTTCTGAATGGAAATCGCTTCGGTTCAAGGGCTCAAAAGAAATGTTTGTAAATATCTCTGGAGTCATAGAAAAACCGAAGCAAAACCGTTTAACATATGCTATTTGGAACCAACAATCAGAAATATTTCAACAAACCCAGTACAATGAGTAAATTAAAAATCCAAACAGATTTTACTTACGCAGTCACCAATAATCTTGCATGATTTTATTGGCTGTTCCACCTTTATCGACGAGAATTTGACCTGTCTTAGTTTCTTGTATTTACGAAGAATGCGGCTGCGCTCCAAGTCGCATGAGGCCTTACTCTTCAGGAGTGCATTATATTTAATTTTCAAATCAACTAGTTGATTTGTAAGACCCTGTAGTCGATTTTCTAATCTAAAAGAGTTAATGCATGCTTAAAAATTATCAAGAAATCCAACTTCTTCGAGAGTTGCTAAACATACCTTTGTGCATCTTCAAAAAGCTGCCGCTTTTCGAGTAATGTCAGTCTGTGTTCCCGTATTTGGAAATTCACAGCTTTTACTAATTCCATCTGATTAGGCGCATTTTCATATGCCTGTAATATTTCCCTTGTTTTCATTTAAATTTGAGCTATAAGAAACAGAGGTTTAAAAAATAGTTTGATGGCATGTGGCTTTCTTAGAAGAAGCAGCATGATTCCAGGCATAAATAGCAAATCAAGTCATACATTGCGTTTGTCATGGTTACATACTAGTTGGCTGACTATCACTATCTTGCTCCTTAATCAAAAAACGAAGGAAACTGATTAGGGTTTTGGTTGAAGATTTATTTTACAAATAACTACATACGTCGGTATGACTAATGGGAAAAGCACTCATCGGGTCTTTGCGAGCGTTCTAGCAGTATTAATAAAAAAACTGATTCCATGCAATAAGATTTCAATTCTGCGGAGAACTTACTAATTATTTTTGTCTTATTTACTGTTGGGTTTTAAGTGTAGGATTTTTTTTCGAATTATTTAAAAAAGGACTAGATTTGCTATTTGCTTTGATAATTACTGATTCTTTACTTGATTTAATCAAAACAAAGTAAGTCAAAAGTAAAACTGAAATGACTGTCAGAAATTATTCAATCAATTAGACGCAGACGCCAATCGTTAGGACTGCAAGGTCATTGTCCTCGGAATAAGGGATTTTAAGAAAATTAAAAATTGAAAGTGCTGCAAAGAAAAGTACAAGTAATAAAGGCCAAATTTAAATAATAATTTGCTAATCCAGAGACACTGGATTAGAGGCCACATAGACTTCAGAAAGCTGATTACAATAGCAGCTTCGACGAAGTAGAAATCAATGTTCGGTCTATTAAATTGTCCACTCACCACTAGTATGGACAATAGAATAAGTCTTGCATTGTACGGCACCAAAAAATTGTTTGGTACTTGAACTGATTTCGATGGCCATTTTTTAAAATTGCACTTTTGTTCAGTGTGTGCATAAAATGTGTGTGACTGTTTCGCCCATTTGCAATAGATGGATAACTATGAAGTTAGGTCTTGTAGACGCAGAAACAGAAGTTCGGTTTAAAGCAAAATTGAAAATGACACTATGGTGCCAAGCGTTATTCCCTAAAAGGCTAGAGGATGTCAGCTTACAACCATCGAACTAATTTAAAAAATTAGACTATTTAAGATCTTTACATTAGTATCGAGTAACCAACCAGGGCATAGACATTATAACGATATAATCATGTAGTACATTGGTTCATTATATTGTTAATGTTGTCATCGTGGGTCCAGTTCGTTGATCAGCATGAAAATAAAATTGTATTCAAAACTTTTTAATTAATCCAGAATCCCAAAAGATATTAAGCAGTGCTTACAAGTCCGCAATGACAACCTAGGCAAAATTTCCGAGGATTTTGAAAAGGTAAGTACACTTTTCCCTTGTCTCATTTTTGAAAAAAATTAAAAGATATTTGTGAGTATAAAGTCTGCGACTTAAACCGTAGTTTAAAGCTGAGAACCAACGTTTACGTAATTACAAACCAACGATGATGACAGCTTTGTGTGGGTCAAGGAATGTCAAGTAAATATTCAAAAGACATAAAATTTAGGAAACAAAAGCCGTACAGCAGGATAAACGAGAAGAATCAAGTTCTTCGAATTAAAAATGCTTGAATGATGGATAAATTTTAAAAAATTTATAAAAAAAGTTTAAAGAAAGCATGCTACTCAGCTCAGAACAAAGATCATACCACTTTTAGGCTTGTATATTGAATATATGTGGAAATATATTAAACACGAACATACTATTTGCTACTTTTCTTCCCGGTTTTATAATGATTACGGACTCATGCAGCTTACGCTGTTGGTCATCAATTCTATGCTCATAACGCCCTTAAGAAGTAAAACGCTTCGAATATTAATAAAAACATAAAAAGAATTGGAGCCATAATGCCACAGCAGTTAGATCAACCAAATAGAAGCAACGAAAAGTTTTTATTTCGTGTATCGCTTTCACACTCATTTACTTTGTTACAAAGTGGTTGATAGCACATGTGGCAAATTAGCAGTGAAAATCGTAAAGATTTTCCAGTGTTTTTTAAGAAGCCTACAATACTCGAAATTTCTTGTGAAGAAATAATAGTTATGGATAACCGCACTTTTATTTTATGTTTTGAATTTATTGTGGCTGAATAACAACCTTTAAAGCTTATTTTTATGCGTTATTTTACTGTGCTACAGGAAAATTCGTGCACGCTCGAGGTCATTATCTGGCGTCCATGGATTTCGATTTCTGAGGCTTTGGTTCATTGACCTCACGAATATTTTTAGTCGTCAGATTATGGCTAACTTTGATTCTACAGACAAATCAGCTAACTTGTCTCGTGGGGAACTTTCGAGCTGTTCTTATTTGTCTGAAACATATGATTTGTTGGAAGCCCCGATGCAATCTCTTGATAAAAAGCAGCAAACTCGCCTTTGGCAGCAAAATCAGTATCTGACGGATTCGGGTATCCAGTCAGCACTAACGACACACACCCCAAGTATTAATAGCAAAGGAAATGTGGATGAAGTCGAGCCCGATGAGAGCATTCTTAGTCAAACTTCAGGACAATTTGTTCCCGTGTGGTCATCCAGTGGACCAATGTCAGTCTACCCATCAGAATCTTGCTTACTTTCTCCTGGTACACCTAGCGCTGGCAGCATTATTGGTATGGATCCAAGTGGTGAGGTTGCGAGCATGACATGCTCGAGATCCGAAGCGCCGATTGATCCAAGGGGAAATAAGATCTCTGATCTAGACACTGATGAGGCCGAAAATGCTATCCCGGAGCTAGTCAGACTTATCAAAGATGAGGATGATAAATTCGTAATTTATCAAGCATCGACGATGGTGTTTCATCTCAGCAAATCTGAGGCGATAGATGCCCTAATTCAGTCCAAGGAAATGATTTCATGCATTCTTTCGGCACTTGATCCTACAGGTGATCCCGAGACCGTTCGACTTTTAGCTGGCACTCTTTATAACATGTCTCAGACGCAAACTGGTCTTAAAGTAAGTTTCTAATTGGTTACTTGATTAATTTATAGGAAATTTTTCTCGCCAACTGTGTCCCGTGCCTCGTTGGACTCCTTAACTCTCCTGTTGAGTCTGTTCTATTTTACGCTATTACGACTCTTCACAATTTATTACTTCATCAGGAAGGTGCAAAGGCGGTCGTACGTCAAAGTGGATGTCTGCAAAAGTTGACGTCCTTGTTGCAAAAGAATAATATCAAATTTCTCACAATATGCACAGACTGTCTTCAAATATTGGCCTACAGTCATCAAGAAAGCAAACTCCAAATCCTTGCTGGAGGTGGCCCCACTGAACTTATTCGTATACTTAACACATATCAATATGAAAAGTTACTTTGGACTACTGCTCGTGTGCTTAAGGTCCTCAGTGTTTGCACTTCAAACAAGCCAGTGATAATCGAAGCTGGTGGCATGGAAGCTCTAGCCAAGCATTTGCAAAATCCGAGCTCTCGTCTCGTTCTTAACTGTTTGTGGACATTACGTAACCTTTCTGATGCTGCAACTAAACTAAATGACCTCCAACCTATACTGCAGACCGTGGTTCAGCTGCTTGGAAGTAACGATTTAAATATTGTTACTTGTGCCGCGGGCATTCTTTCGAACCTCACGTGCAACAACAGTGCCAACAAATTGATTGTCTATCGGGTAAATGTTATTTACAATTTTATAGCCTTGGTTGTAGAGGGGTGGACTGCGTGGTTTGTTACATGCATTAAGTCACTGTCACACCAAGGAAGAGATTTTGGAACCCTGTATGTGTGCATTACGTCATCTCACAAGTCGCCATGACGAGGAGGAAAAAGCAAGGAGCGAGTTTGTTGCTCAGCTTAATGGCCACATTCCAGTTTCGCACATACTGCATGCCGCGACGGCAGGTGTCTGCCCTGAATTGGGCCTAGTATGCCAGCAGCCCCAAAATCCACTAACTTCGTGGACTCTTGTAAAGGCCGTTGTTGGGCTACTCCGCAACCTTTCAATGAATGTTGATAATCATCGTCCAATGCTTGAATCAGGAATTGTCGCTGGTCTCTCTATTCTTTTGTATGCTACACAATACGAGATTTCGAAGGTGAGAATTAACCTTAATACTTTTGACTGGCCACAACTCATATACTTTGAGTAATGGTCCCTGTTTTATTTTCAACCACACAAGACTCCTTTGAGCCTAGTTCAATTTTTCAAAAAAAAACATTCGTTTTGTTTGGTAAGAGGCCAGTACGGTAGTTGCGTACTTAATAACTGTGCTGGCGCAGTTGCATGTGAGCCTTAAATTAATGGTGTATTTAATGTTAGTGAATTATATTCTCCTTTTATTCACCAGCTACTGGTTTTCGCTTCCGCTCTGTGGTTAAATTAAACTGTTGATTCTGTGCTTGGGTTGCGTTTAAGATCGAGAGAAAAAAACAGTTTGGAGTTTAGCATTTAAGTTTTTTTCCTCAGCTGAAAACTCCAATGATTCATTGAACTCGTATTTATTAACAAGTCGCACACGGCGACAGATATGGTCTCTAGCAAACCTAAATGAGTTCAGTCAGATCCGTATTTACAAATACACTCACTTCATCAAGTCACCGTCTCTTCCTGGGACTAGCGTCCTTCCATACTCGCTTCCGCTTATTGCGCAGACGTTCCGTTCTTGTCGTTATGTCTTATTTGCACAGATCTTATCCATTATACCTATTCGGTGGAGGCCGGTAGTTTTGTTGAACACAGCCCTTATACACACGCGTTGGACAAATTAACAAACTACTGCTACTTTCAGTGCGGAGGCCATCGCGCTAATACAACCTTTATAACATACTCAATTAGTGAGTTTTGCGATTACCATTGCACGTTATTGGTTAATTTAAAGGCTACAATTTTTGGTCTGGTTCATCCAGTAGCGAAATTGCGGTAACCGAAGTGTGCAATGCACAGCTGTCGGAGCCGATGCTGGGTAGTTGGTCTATTTTCATCCGTTTAAACATGCACGCGCACTTCAACCGCCGGAAGTGAGTCATCATCGCCTGCTTAGTCATCACAGTATGTACATCCCCTTGGTTGTTTGGGTATGCCTACGAAAGATTATACTTATATACTTGATGCACATATTTTCGTTGAAATGCGGAGGATGCCCGACAGTAGGGTAACGTTAAACATTTGGTGAGTGGTTCCTGGCATCGTTTCATATTTTGAGGCCAAATTCGAGGTCTGAACCATGTTTGGCACTTTTTTGAACTTTCATGCAGTAGAATGTGGGTGCGGTCGTAATCGGACAAATTTTCGTGCAATTTGCCGTCCCCGAACTAATGAAGTTTCCACAACTTGATGCCAGATCGAGCCCGCTTAAACCACCCTCCAGTTTTTTTCTGCGGTTCTTCCGTGTTTAAAAATATAACTGTAAGCATCTCTGCTTAGAAGAAGGCGGCCGTTGAAAGCGACGCCCACGGAAGCTGAAACGAAAGAAGTGTGCTTGTGATTCCACATAAAGTAGGTTAAAGGAAATTAACACATATACCTTCCACTAGAGGCTGGAATGGGAAGGGCTATATGATTAAAAAATGTGTATAGTAGTAACAAAGTTTTTCAATACCTAGGTAGCTCCCTGGAGCATTAGGGTGCATATCAGAATGTTTCTAACAAACACGAAGTCTACGTGGCAATATGAGTAAATATATTCAAGTGAAAGTCGACAGCAGTCACGATTTAGAAGGCTCGAGATTTGAGTTATTGCTGGAATAGCTATGGTTCATTCTCACTACCGGATTTATTCTATTTTGCATAGACATATGGCGTACCCCACATGGAAGTCACCCAGCTTAGACCACATGCGAATTCTTCCGATATTTTCCGACTTCGTCATCGTGAAGTTGCTTTTTTTACCCGGAGGTGTTTAATGCCAGCTATTGTCTTCAAGCAAACCACTTTGATTTCTGCGCATTATGTCTGGGTTGGTCACACGGGAACGCCATAACGCCAGCGCTACCCGCATCTATCGGGATTCGTGTTCGCACCCCAGTGGAATTGCTTGCCTATTTCCGTGTCTCCAGTGTTTGTTCACTTTGTCCTTGCGCGCATTAAAGTTATTCAGACAGTGCTGGCAATGATAAATGCAAAGCCATTATAGGTCCTAGTTCGCTATTGTGATTGCCGACATGCCACCGTGAGAAATCTTGCTGCGTACCTCCTTTATCGCCACTCGATTAGATAGGTCATTCGCTGCCACAATAGCAGGCTTCATTCTTCGGTTCGAAGTATTGCTGGATTTCAGAAGTTCCTATCGTGTGTTCATTTGTGCTTTTAAAGTCCTGTCTAACAATCACCCACACAATGGTTGCTCAGGGCATTTTTATTACTTTAAATGGAATCTAACACCTTGCTTCTCTGTACTTTTCATCTGTTTTGGTTGAATTTAAAATATCACATTCCAAAAATCATTCTAAGCTGGTGAATTGGCGTATTTTCTGGTTAGTATGTGCTATGGGGATTTTTTTTATCAATGAAGCAAATTCAGGTGTTTCACTTATTTGAAAACTAATGCCATTCTTTTAAGAAGCCCCAGGCCAATCAGGGTCCAGACTGGAACATCTATCAGCAATTCCAAACGTTCTACCAGTTTCCTCTCCTTAAATATCTAACATGCCTAGGTCGGCTCTACATTCTCTAACGTGTCTCTATTCTCATTATTTGACTATCACATCGGTTTATAGCATAGTCATTAAGTCCACAACTGAATGTTGCTAAATAACACCTCTCAGCCTTAATATTCCCGTGGACAATTACGAAAGATTGCAGCTCAAAGCAAAAATCACTTGTCTGGGCCAAACGTTCTTTTGTCTGTTGACGAATCTGAATTTAGCCTCATTTACTGCCTAGGCGAACTCAACTTTCAATTTTCACGTACACTAACGCATTACCGATCCATCATATGCATTGGTTTCTTGATACATTAACATGTAGAACTTGATTAAAATAAAAACTTCATGTACATTTCTTAAACCTTATGGGCATTCACTGAAATAGGTTTCTAGGTTTGTTAGCAAGGAGCCATACAGTTGTGCACCAAGCACCTAAAAAATAAATTCTGACGGATGTTTTCAAACGATTGATTTGCGGCCTGCGCACGTAAGCCGGATAGTAATTACACTTTCATTTCAATTGCGCGCCCGCATGTCATAACACTTAAGAATTTTAGAAGGTGTTTTAACACGCAAGCACCTTCGTTATGTCCTACACTTACGAAGATCGAACAGGTAATCAGTGTGACATCTCGAAGTAGCACAATTTCTTATCTTTTGAAAGGATGAGGACTAGCCTATCGCCCAGGAAGAGGTGCTGGTTGGCGAAGACCGGAGCCATTTGTCATTCTAAACACAGATCCGACACTCGTGTCATAACGGGTTCAGCTGTGGCCAGACTCAGTTTTTGGCACTTAATGTTCTGTCGTCCCTTAGTTTACTCAGGTGACTAATGTCTATTGTCAAAATCTGTATCACGATGTTTAATGACATCGGTGGAGTGGAATGACGTTAATCTTCACAAGTAGCGGACATTTTAATTGTGCACTTCTTATGCTTTTGTCAAGCAAACAAATCAGCACCAACTAAGCATGACGACAAACAATGTAAAACCATTAAAACATTAGAAGTAAGATTTATCTAATTTTACTCCCAGCTGCTAAGATCGAAGCTCGGTATAGAGACCAGGCATTGTCGTTCAAAGCAGGTTAACCAATCAAGAAAAAGCACACTCGATTAATGTGTCATTCTTAAAACGTCCAATCCCGGGTTTCGTCATTTTCCAAAGCACTTATTATTTTGATTTAATAAACAGTCTCGTCCATGTTCTCGAATTACTTCGAGGAATGCAGCGGCATGGAATGTGTTGTCTTGAGCAGACACGATTTTGTGCGGGAGGACATAGCTAAGATCACCATCGTAAAATACTTTTTATGCTGATTAAGTGGGGATAATGATGGTTTTTTGAATGGGCCCCATAAGTTCCATCTCTGTAACCGATGGTCTTAACTGAACAGCTATCAACCAGTTATACCGACATTTTAAATTCAAAGAATCAATAAAACTAGAACCATCCTGATGTTCCGGACGTTCTGATTGCCCGATCAAATTGAAAAACATATCCACACATTTCTATCTAGCCCGTACACCACAACGAGATTGATATAAGAGGACACGCAATTGTGATAGAACTAGAAGAAATGAGTGTGTGGTAGCTTGGGTTCGGCAGGAGTTCCGTCAAATTATCTGATATCCCTAAGACGGCTATTGCTACGCCATTCGGTTTGTTCGAGTTCGGCTTACGAAACGCAGTTCAAACATTTCAGCGTTTCATCCACCAAGTATTATCTGGTTTAGATTTTGTCTTTTCGTATATCGAAGATGTTCTTGTTGTCAGTGAACATCAAGAGGAGCATCTGAAACACATGGATATCGTCTTTTGACGCCTTAATGAATATAGTTCTATTGTTAATCCCTTAAAGTGTATTTCCGGAGTTCCAGAACTTAAATTCCTAGGACACACCGTCTCCACTGCAGGTTTAAGTTCCACCGATATTAATGTAAAGATTCGAGTATACCTGGAACGGAGGTCCATCAAGTAACTTTGACGTTTCTTGGGCATGATCAATTTCTATCGCCTATTCCTACCAAATCCAGCTCAGATCCTTCTGCCTCTAACCAATCTACTCAAAGATTGCTTAGAATCGAGCCATGACTGACGAGGCACGTGAAGCTTTTAGGGCCGCAAAGGAGGCTTTGGCGATGGCAACCACACACGTGTTTCAACGATCAGATGCTCCTCTGTCCCCACTAACCGATGCGTCCCTTTCAGCAGCTGCTACAGTCTTATAGCAAACTGTCAACGAAGCAGTTCAAGTCAAGTTCAACGAAGCTCAAAAGCGTTACAGCACTTTCGGTCGTGAGCTCCTGGCTATCTACCTGGCGGTCAAGCACTTCAAGTACCTCCTAGAAGGTCAACAATTCACGATCTACACCGACCACAAACCGCTGACCTTTGCAAACACCAAGGGAATCAAGACACTGGGATTATGTTTTACAGTTTTCAACCGACATTCGTCGCATCCAGGGCAAAGACAATGCGGTAGCCGATGGACTATCTCGTTTGCACATCGACGCTGTAAATACAGGTACACCTGTTGATTTCGAGGATATGGCGAGCGCTAAGCAGTCTGACGAAGAATTGTAAGAGTTCCGGAAACGAAATACAACCACAAAGTTGGTCGAAGTCCCTCTACCTTCATCCACACTTACATTCGTCTGCCACATTTCAACGGGTGTGCAAGGTCCTTTTTTACTCAAGCCAATGCGACGCCAATTGTTCCGAGCCCTTCGTAGTCTTCCTCATCCTGGTCAGCGGGCAACTCGGAAGCTGATCTCAAGTCGTTATGTTTGGCCTACCATGAATCGCGATGTTTTGCAGTGGACTAGAAATTGTGTAAGCTGTCAAATATCGAAGGTAGACAAACGCAGCAAGACTCCTCTTAGGCACTTTAACGTTCCAGATCCTAGGTTTGATCATGTACACGTTAACATTGCTGGACCCTTGCGGCACTAAGGACGTTTCCGTTACATTTTGCCTTGCGTTGACCGCTTTACCCGCTGGCAAGACGCTTTTCCGATGCAAGGCATCTCCGCTGAAACCGTAGCTAGAACATTCGTTGACAGGTGGGTTGCCTTATTTGGAGTCCCCTTTACCATCACCACAGATCGAGGAACTCAGTTTGAATCAAGCTTGTTCCAAAATCTCACACAACTTCTGGAGACGAACTGCATTCGAACGACTGCCTACCACCCTCAATCAAATAACATGGTGGAACGTTTTCACCGACAACTAAAAGCCGCTTCAGCAGATCACAGTGACCCATCTCGTTGGTCGGACGTGTTACCCTTTGTGCTACTCGGTATTCGATCAGCCGTAAAGGAACAACTGGGTTGTTCCTCTGCAGAAATGGTTTTCGGCGCAACATTAAGAATCCCTGAACAGTTTTTCACGGTAACACCACAACCATTATGACCGGACGCAAGCAGCTGCGTCGGTGATTTGAGGGAGGCAATGAGCAAACTGAAATCAACTCAAACTCACTCATCCTCCACTACATACTACATCCCGAGAGCATTGTCCAATTGCATCCACGTTTTCATCAACCCACCTATGGTGGACCTTTCAGAGTACTCAGACGAGAAGAAAGGGTTCGCATCGTCGAACGAAATGGAAAAAAGGCGCCGCATCTATTGGTCTTCTCAAACCAGCATTTATCGACATGGAGGCGTCGCCAAGCAACGAACCCGAGGCGCAGCCAACTCTCATCCCTCCTGAAAGTAAAGAAACGATCGCCACTGCATGCTATGGTAGGCGCGATCACTGGCCTGGTCGTTACACTGCCTGACCCCCCTTGTCCTCATATCCTGGCCATCGTTTGTCTCAAACCCGATATACCTCGATTTCTCGAATCTAGCCTGGTTTGCCGCATTTTGGTTTCAATTTCGCTAAAACTCGCTTTGGTTCTCGACTCTAAAGTGCTACTTTCCATGTTCCAAACTCTTCTTCAACACTACACAATATTTACGGCTCTCCCTTCGGAGTTCCTGTTCGAAGAAAATATTACCCAATTCCCCTTTACCAAGGGGGAGAGCTGTGGCGAGCACAGTCAGCATTCGTGAACGAACGTGATTCGATCAACTTATCGTGATGCGCTGTGGTGGACAGACAGCCACCTCGCATGAGTGATGCGGCACGCTGGCCCAACTGTACCGGTGACTCACGCCTTCTGTTATTGGCTCCTGTTAGAACCCGCCTGTTACGCACGCGCATCGATACGCACATAAAGCCACTTGGCTGTTGTGACGCTAATAAGCGGTCGCGTTCTCTGTTGCGTCTTCTCGGGTTGAAACGGGCTGTTGACTAGAGGGTTGTAAGGTAGTGCTAAACTCAAATATTACACTTCTAATCTGAGGTCTCCGACACCCGCTAACTGTTCAAGTGTTGACGATTCAACCATGGGGGCAAGAATGGATTAATTATTGCTTGGAAGTCGTTTGAGCAAAACTTCTTTCCAAAATGCCCCTTGCAAAGGTTCATCGTCGGAGAGTTGACGCATCTTCCTCAGGATCTGGGTAGGCTCTAAGTCCCTCCAGTCATCACGGAATTAAAGTCGGTTAATGCGTTCCGATGTGGTCAGCTGCGTACGTTTCAGAGTTGCGGCCTTTAGTTGGTCGTAAGGAAAGTCGGGATGAAGCGGTACGTCCGAAACCTCCTTGGCAAGTTTGCTATTCAAAGTAGGGGCAAGGTAAGAGTATTTAGCATTTTGGCTGACAATGTTAGCACCACGAAGTTGCGTTTCCAAAACGGCTAACCAACCCGGGGTCACTAACCGTAGTGGCTGAATTTGGCACTACCTCACAATCCTCTAGCTCAACCCGTAGCAACCCGAGAAGAGGGAAGACAAGAAGCAACAGATAACACGATCGCTTATTAGCGTCACAACAGCCGAGTGGCTTTATGTGCGTATCGATGCGCGTGCGTAACAGGCGGGTTCTAACAGGAGCCAATAACAGAAGGCGTGAGTCACCGGTACAGTTGGGCCAGCGTGCCGCATCACTCACGCAAGGTGGCTGTCTGTCCACCATA